GGATCCAAACAGCATCGTGTTCCCAGTTGTGAAACCTGCACCACAAAGCAGCACAAATCTTACCGGAGGACACGAATGCACTTCAGATCTAATGTTGATTGGACAGGGAAGGCATTTAGAATCTTACATTTTATTTTATCTTATTTATTTATTTAGGGGGCTTCTATGCCGCCCCATTCGTCGAAGCCTCGGGGCAGCTCACAACAGCGGACGCATGCTATGCCCCACTGCTATTTCCACCCCCAACTGGTTCTGCTCAGAGAGACCAAGTGGACCAGTGACTGAATAAAAGAGACCATAAACCCGGGTTCAGCAGAACAGGGATGAGGAATTCATGGCCCTCCGGTTGTGGTCGAAGGGCCACATGTCCTCCCATCCCTGCGGGAGGCTTAATCAGCACACGACCTTCTGGCCAACAGTTCATCCAGATTTTCTTGGAATTTCTTGAAGGAGGCTAGAATATCAGAAGCAGAGAATGCTTTCCCTGGATCTTTCAGGTTGTGGGGAATTACCCCACGCTCCATTGCCTACAAAAGAAGGCAGTCATTATTCCAAATTGCTCTTATGCTTCTCTGTGGACTGAATCACTTCTTTCATATGACAACACCCACTTGTACCAACCTGGATAGATCAGTGCATCTTACACACACACACACACACACACACACCACGCGAGATGTCTGTATATATACATGCATTTCACCCACAAAACTATGTGCATGGTCACACCTTGGCACACAGCGTCTGAGTACATGGAAGCATACATGCAACCGTATGCTCGTCATTTTTAAGCATGCATGGGATGGGCAATCACAGGGGCTGACGTGTGCTCATGTACCCATTCATCTGTGCTTGCACATTCACAGAAATAATATACATCTTCACGATGCTTGTGCATGTGTGCACAAGCACACACAGCTTCATTTTGCTTAACAAAGCTGGTAGCTACCTGAGTTTATTCTCTCCATCTACTTGTGCTGCTGGGCACCAATCCCCACATAGCCATTTGCTGAATTGCAGAGATATGGGCAACCTATGACCTTCCAGATGTGGCTGGATTGCTACCCACTCGGCCCAAATCCTGCAACTTCTGGAGTAGTACAAGTTGCCTGCTCCTCCTTGACTGTGGTCTAGATTTCAGCTTAGAATTATTTCTGTGCAGTATTTCATTAAACATATTTTAATGTTTCTCATCATAGCCTTACTGTGGGTTTAGTGTAAACTGAAAACAAGGCCACCTTTCTAGTTTTTGCATAGCATTATTATATGGCTTCACTAGCCACATGCCCTCCAGTTGTTTTGGACTTCAACTTCCATCAGCCCCAGACAGTACGGCCAATGGTCAGGCCTTCTTCTTGCTATAATTGAGAGAGCACCCAGTTGGGGATGACCCGCGAATGGTCACTTTGGCCTCTCCTGGTTCCATGTCCCTGGAATACAATCCATACCGGCCTGTTTTAGACTGCAACTGGCTCGTCTTTGTGTGTGCATGTGTGTGCGTGCGTGCACATGCGCATGCAAGTGTGCACATGTGGGAATGAAAGGGGGAGTGCAGGTAAATAGCAGCATTTTTGATATGGATGTCATGGCACCCACATCTTGCATTTATTCAGGTCCCATCACCAGCTCCTTTTACACTGAAGGCAGGTTTGCATGACATAATAAACCATAATGTGTTCATGTGCAGGGTGGTCTGTCATGTCATCTGAACCCAGCAGAGAATTTCAGCATGGTACATTTGGTTTTTAGAAACCACAATAAGAAACAACCAACAGGAGGTGAGGGTGTTCAAGGATAGGCTGGACATGCATATGGTAGGCATGTCATGAGCAGAGCTGGCTGGAGCCGGGGGTCAGACTAGATGGCCCAGGATGTCCCTTCTGTTTCTGTTCTATAGTTTCCACACTTCATGGTATCACTGATCATCCAAACCTGGCATTGTGGTTTCCACAGTCCTGGATTTGCAGCTACCACAGAGTCCTCTGGAAAGAACAGCAGCTGCTGCAGGGGCTGGTCCAGCCATCCAGCATAGGTTTAATTTCAGGCATAATGGCTGATGGGATACATGCCATCAGTGGGAGGACCGAGTGAGCAGAGTGGAAACTATCTTAGCATAGAAACTACTTAATTGTCTGTTGGACACATCCAGGCAAACTAACTGCACCATGAAAACTGTGCAGGGTTGTTTGTTGTGACATGTAAACACAGCTTGAAATTTAAATGAGCCAACTGATTTGGCTCATTAAAAAACCAAAACACCCTGTTAGAGAATAATAATAATGTCTTAACAGGCACCTATACATACCAAGTAATATACAAACATTGAATCCAAATTTGAGGCCTCTTTGAGGATGATGCATTGTCTCTTTTTTGGAGATGCATAAATGGCTACTCTATTGCTACTTTTGGGGCTGGCTAAAGCCTTTCCCACCGCCTCGCCCACTACGTTCCACCCAGCAGGCTGCCAGAGAAAGGACAAATCCCTCGTTAGAATTTGGAACTGATTGCTTGCAGAAGGCTTTGAAATTAGGCTAAGGGCTGCGTGTGGGCCCAGGAAGCAATTGCCCAACTCTGATCTACACCCACACCACTCAAATTGCTTTAAATCAAAATCACTGATCAAATCTGAAGGTCTCAGTTCTCTTCCTCTTGTGGGATCTGTTTCTGAGGCAACCTCATCTCAATCCAGGGCCTTCAGTATCACCTGCATACTTGTGACACCTTACTCTGTCTAGAGCTTTTCCAGTCAATCTCCTGTCTGATATTTCAGCATGGATGTTCCATTATCATCTCATTATCATGTCCAAGATTTAATATCTTTCGTTCCAAACTTCCTTCTCCTTAAAGCCTCTCTGTATCCATGGACACCTCTAGCAACCCAGCAGAACAGACACAACAACAGTTTTCTTTTTGACTCTCATGTAGGGACCAGCCCTATTTCTCCCAAAAAACAGCATTCCAGACCTGTTACCTTACTGTGTGAGCAAGAACTGGAACAAGAGGTGGGGTCGGACATCTTAGCAGAAATGCCAAGGCCAGCAGGCCCACTGGCAAATCAAAAGGCCAGTGAGAACCAGGCTACAACTGGTGTGGCGAGGTCCTTGGTTGAACAGGGGTAGTTAGATGGGAGCAGATGTAACACAATCAGCCCCATGAGATCACGGGGCAAACCAACTGAGCAGCATTCAACATTCCTGCTTTCTGCTCCACAACCAGCAGGAAAAACCCTGAGGATGGAATTAGCTATTTTTGGTTGGGAAGGGAGGAGAAGGAACAATCTTAGCATTAAGGTGTATTTTTCTAATAGCTGGTATTCTAACTTGGCTGGTGGCGTCTGTTCTGGATTCCTGGAATACACTTTTGGACCAAAAAGCCAACCTAGATGGCCAGTTTGTGGTAGCAAATATTGCAATGAGCAGCCTTTTGCCCTGATCTGCTTGGAAAGGAGGGTGGAGGTGGGGGTGGAGAGAATAAATAATCGAAAGAAACCCCTATTCTTCCCCGTCTCCTCCAGCCTCCCCATCCTTCCCCTTCCTTGCTCATTCCTTTTGTGTCAAATTTTAGCTTGATCATTCAAGCTCCACAGGAGCAGGGACCTTAATCTTATACCAAGGGTTAGGGGCCTGTGACCTTCCAGATGTTGCTGGATTCCAACTCCCATTGCCCTGACCAGTGGCCATGTCGGCTACGGCCGATGAGAGGTACAGTCCATCAACATCTGGATAGCCACAGTTTCTCAGCACAACAGCAAAAAAGCTAACTCTTGGACACCAGTCCCCCCCCCCACCCCATCCATTCCCTACAGTACAGCACAACCTTGTCGGGCCCTTTTTGGGAGAATATGAGTCCTACCACATATCCATCTGCTTAGTGGACATGACTGTCATATCCACGTGCGTTCCTTGAGGCACCGTGCATACATGAGAGCCCCCACCCGGACACAGCCTTACCTTCAAGCCTGTTCGCACACTCACCCACACCTCCAAAAGAACCACCCTAAGGAGGGTTGGAAACATCTTTATGGATTTTATTAAAATAGGAAACTCAGACCAGACCCCAAAATGCCAAGGGAATCAACAGGCCTTTTTTGTCTTTTTTTGTCTTTTTTTTGTCTTTTTTTTTTTAATGCGGCCGGAAGTGCAGACCCCACCAAATCCCGCATTCCCACCCCCAGATTATTACAAATTAAAAAATACCTCCACACCCCTGTGTCTCTTGGGGGGCACACCGGCCATGCCTGCCATCCCATAGTAATAATACTAGTCATAAAAAATTCCCCCAAACCCTGTGCGCCTGGCATCCCCACGTGCTCTAAAGCGGCGGGAGGGGAAACCCTGGCACCACCTTGACCTTCCGTCTTTTTAATTTTATTCATTTATTTTGTATTTCCCGTTTGGATGAAAATAGAATTTTGACGGAAAGCAGCTCAAAATAAGATCTCCCCCTCTCCTCCTCTCCCATTTTGCTTGGGTTACTTTTTCTTTCTAAAGTTTATTCCCATGACGTCAAAAGGAAAACAAATCAGGGTGAGCCTTCCTTCTTTCTGTTGTTCTTTCTCTCTTTCATTATTTCTTTCTTTCCTTCTTCCTTTCCATTTAAAGTAATTCAGCAGGTAGTTGGATACAGAAACAGCCCCATCTGTATAAAAAAAAAGTCTCCAATGTAAAGGGAGAACGGTAGAAAAATAAGTACAGAAAAGAAGGGTGGGAAAAAAGAAATGAAAAGAAAGGGGGGAAGGTCAGGCACAGGGCAAGAGGAGTACCTTGTTCTGCAAAAGAAAAAGAAGAGAACGTAAAAGGCTAAATTGGTGAGAACCAAGGGTGTCCACTGGGAACTTGGCCTCCAGGATCTGCCACAGTGGTGGAAAGAACTGTTCTCTTTTGTGTGGTGGGGGGGAGAAGGAGCTGTTCCTCAACACTCCCCCGCCACACACACAGGTACAGATCCACTGCCACCCTCCCACCACGCAAGTATTCCCTGTTGTCTGGGTCTCTTGGCCGTCATATCTGTGTCTCCTGGACGTTCTCTTTCGAGCTGCTCTTGAACAAGAGAGGTTCATGGATGGAATTGAGCATGGGGTTCTTGGAGCCACAGGTGAGGGGTCCACCGCCACTATTGTTGTTGTAGTGGGCCTTGAAAGCAGCGTAGTGGTTGAGGTGGTCGTGCTCGATGGCGGGGAGTGCCAGGTGGCTGTCACCAGGGGCCCCGGCTGCAGCAGGCAACTCATCTTCTACATTGATGATCTCAATGGTGCGTGTGGGACCATGGTGCTTGTGAAGCTGGTGCTGTTTGCGGAGCTTGTAGAAGACAATGAGCATGACCGCAGCCATGAAGGTGATGGCCACAAAGCAGCCGATGATGATCTTGGTGGTCTTCATGACATCATCCAGGTCTTTCATGCCACTCTCTGCTACATCAGTGATTGGGATGGTGAACGGCTTCTCAGTGCTACGGGTGCTGCGTGGGGTCAGCGACGTGGTGGAATAAGTCATGCCCCAGCCCTGTGATGGGGTTGGTCCAGGCTCTTTCTTTGTGGGAATGGATTCTTCTTGACCTGAGTCCATGGTCTCCACAGTCACCGTGGTAAAGTAGGTGTATCCTGTGGTGGCTGGGTCCACAGCAGAGACATTGAGGGTGGCTGACGCAGTGGTGTTGCCAGCCGAGTTGGTCACCATGCAGGTGTATTGCCCTGTGTCTTGGACAGTCACATTGGTGAAGTTGAGTGTTCCATCATGGAGGACAGAGATGCGCACCCGGTAGGAACCATGAGTCATCAGTGTCCCATTGGGGGTCAGCCAATTGACTGACGTCATGGAGGTCCCTGTCCGGCATTTCAGCTCGGCTGCCATCCCCTCAGTCACGTTAAGGTCCGTGGGAGGCTCCACTATAACTGGGGCATAGCAGGTGAAATGGCTTTGATCCAGCTCTCCAATGTACCGCCCTTTGAGGTTTGGTGGGGCATGGCACCGGGCACAGCAGGTGGTATTATTGGGCACTGTCTCCTTGAGCCACCAGCTGAGCCACAACACATCACAATTGCAGTGCCAAGGGTTGTGGTTGAGGTGGACACGCTCCAGGCGATGCAAGGGGGTGAAGAGATCATGTGGCAAGGACATCAAGTTATTGTGGGAGAGGTTGAGCTCCTCCAAGGACTTGAGGTCATCAAAGGCATTACGTTCAATGGTAGCCACCTGGGCATGCATCAACCATAATTTGCGAAGACTGGTCAGTCCTTGGAAGGACCCTGGCCGGATCATGTCTAGGCGATTCCCAGAAAGCTCCAGTTCCTCCAGCCTCACTAAGGCTGTCAAGTTTGGGATGTCCTTAAGGTTGCACATGCCCAGGTTCAAGTAGCGCAGGTTGACCAATCCTTCGAAAGCTGCCTCTGAGATGTACTCCAGCTTCTTGAGTTCTCCAAGGTCCAGTCGACGCAAGGAAGGAACTCGGTTGAAGGCATAGGAAGGGATGCTCTCAATGGGGTTGTTCCTCAGCCACAGCTCACGCAACTTAGAGAGGTACTCAAAGGCCTGTGTGGGGACAGTGGTCAGCCGGTTGTCAAAGAGCTCCAGCGTGTTGAGGTTGGGCAAGCCATTGAAGGCGCCAACCTCAATCTTACGAATGAGGTTCTTACTGAGCTGCAAAATCTCAAGATGACGAAGGTGCTTGAAAGTGTCAGTCTTTATGACCTGGATGGTGTTCTCCTGTAAGTTGAGGTACCGCGTGTTGATTGAAATGCTCTCGGGCACTTCCACCAGCTCCCGGCGTGTACAGATGACCCGGCTGGCCTGGTTGCTGCAGGAACAAGCAGCTGGGCAGGAGGTGGGAGAAGCTCCACCCAAAACCAGTGATGGCAGCCAGAGGAAGAAGAGGATGAGATGCTTCCAAACCATCCTAGAGACTCCAGGTGCCAGCAAAGGCTTCCGAGTGCAACGGCGGGTGGCCATGTCCAATGTTCATGCTTCAGTGAATGGCAGGGTGGGTGCTCAGGTCTTTAGAAACTGGGAACGAGAGAAAAAGAGAGAAGGGGAAATAAGCCAAAATCTGGAGGTAGATCTTAGGTGTATGGTTACAAGTCAGAAGTGTTAGAATGTGGGAGTCACTCCATGAAATGGATTTGCTGTAGACAGTTCAACACAATCTAAGGAAAGTCTTTGCATAAGTTAGATTGAATTTGGACTTCATCATGTTTAGTATAGACTCACTGTAATTAGGTAAAGGTAAAGGTTTCCCCTTGACGTTAAGTCCAGTCATGCCTGACTCTAGGGGGCAGTGCTCATCTCCGTTTCCTAGCCGAGGGAGCCAGCGTTTGTCCGCAGACAGTTTCTGTGGTCATGTGGCCGGCATGACTAAACACTGAAGTGCACAGAACGCTGTTACCTTCCTGCCAAAGTGGTATCTATTTATCTACTTGCATTGGCATGCTTTCGAACTGCAAGGTTGGCAGGAGCAACAGGAACTCACCCCGTTGTGCAGATTCAAACTGGCGACCTTTCAATCAACCAGCCCAGCAGCACAGCAGTTTAAACCACTGCGCCACCTGCATCCCATTCACTGTAATTAATGGGGCTTAAATTAGTCAGAACTAACCCATTGATTTTATCAGATGTACTTTCTCTAAAGTCTGATCCAGTCCTATAATTCATTGCCACAAGATGCCTTATACTTTTTTTTACTTCTATGTAAATGTATACGGCAGCTTACATAATTCTCCTTTATCTTATCCTCACAACGACCCTGTGAGGTAGGTTGGGCTGAGAGTCTGAGACTGGCCCAATGTTGCCCAGTTTGCTCCATGGCTGAGTGAGGACTAGAACCTGGATTTCCTGAATCCTGATCCCACACTCATAATCACTAGACCACATGACTGTCTCACACTACACTCAAAATTTTAATGTGCAGTTGCTCATTTGTCTGTCATATCAACTCCTTCAACATGAAAAAACTGGGAAACCACAAAGTGAGTGACACTAAGGGAAAGGGGTTGAGGTTGGGGTTAGGCTGGGACTGCAGGTGGGTTGGGTTTGACCCCCAGCAAAATTTCTCTGTAATATGGAAAATCCCCAGCTTGCTCCCTATCCAATTTAGCACCCCATATGACTGCTTCATTGGGAGAGGTGGACCCTACTATGTTAGAACATTCAAGCAAGGCTTGATGACCACTTATCAGGGATGCTTTAGCAGTGGATTTCCTGAATCAGCAGGGGGGTTGACTAGCTAACCTTTCATGCTACGGGTCAGTGATTTTAATCAGTAAAGTAACATAAGGATCCTCAGAATGGAGAGATCCGGACAGTATCTCTTTTAATAGACTGACATTCATTTATCTCTGATAACAATTCTTTGAGGCATGCCATTGCAACTTCCATTTTACACACAGAGACCTGAGGTTGAAAGGTGTTGGCTGAGCCACGAACATCGAGCAAGGCTGCCAGAGATGCGAGCTCTGAATCTAGTGCCATTCTCCATTTGTAGCACCTGCCCGCTGTAGTCTCACGAGGGCCCTCAACTCCTCAAATACACTTCTGGGGCCTTCCCATCACCCTCATGGCAGATGCTCATAAGCCTCTGGAACAGGAGGTTTACAAGCATTCAGTGCAAGGTACGTACGTGGCACAGAGGTGGTGGTCTTGGCTGCCAACCACACACCCTGCGTTTTATCTAGGTGGCCATTTTCAGCCATTTGAATCTACCCCTGGGGAGGGGAAGAGGCTGGGACGCCACCCCTGTCACAGTCCTTTCCCTCCTACTGCATGGGAGAGGGAGCCAGTGAAGTTCTTTGGTGCTTGGTCTCCAAAATCCCCTATGGTCGCCCAGACAATGTCAGGAGGCCAAAGAATTCTGCCTTTATGCACACATGATCAAGTACTAAGTAACATAGCTGCCTTTGCTTACAGTGATCTTTTGGTTAATAGAGAGGTGTCAACCAGCTCATGATATTTAGCCCATTGATCATTGGTCTGGCGCCTTTTCTGCTGAGCTTTAGAAGCCAAGGAAAACCCCCAATATCCCCCCAAGGCTTTTAGTGGATTTCAACATGATTGCCTATTTTAATCTACTGATGGTTTCGACCGCTGATATTTTAGTGCTGGGTGTTTGTCTATTTCACTGAAAAAGTTCCAGTCTATGTTAGTTGCACTCGTCCCATGAACATCAAGTCATGACAGTTGTCTTCAGACTGCAGAGCAGAAGGGGAATGCAGCTTGGCTGCCATTGGCTGTGAGGGAAGGTCCCTTGGAAGTTGCATTCCTTGACTTGCAGGGATGGCATCACAGGAAGGAGGAGAACAGCTCGGCCCCATCCATCAGCCAGAGAAGGAGCAGCTGCACCATAAACCAGACATGTAGAGCTTTTAAATATGAATGGGCCATTTGTTCCCAAAAATCTGGGCACAAAATATAAGTAATAGTGATGTGGTTTAAAAGGCATGGCACTTTTGCAAGAACCAATTTTGGGCTCACTTGACACCTTCTGTTAACTGAAAATTCAGCTTCTTAGCGCTAGTCTACTTGAACCATCTTATCTGTCTAGAGAAAACCCTCAGCCAATCCTGATAAAGTGTCCCAGATTGACTTTCATGTAGGCAGGGTACTGTTTGGCTTGGCTTGTGACTCCATTGTCAGTTTGACTTGAAAAACTTGGTGACATTTGAAGGCTAAATCACAGACGAACAACATCTGGCATGCCAAGTGATTTGGCCTACAACTCCCTAATGTCTCACCACTGACTTGGCTGGCCAAAATATCTGCCCTAAGTCATGGAGATTCAGAGACACCCCCCTCTATCTTACAGGCTCGGAATCCAAACCAAACAACTTCCAAATAGCTTCACATATGTGCAAAAATCTTAAAGTCATTAAGATCATTTAGGACAGCACCTAAAGCAGTTACTAGTTAAGTAACAGTGATAAATTGACATTAGAATCTAAAACAATAAAAACATCTGAGTCAAGATGTAAGGGGGGAAATTCAGCCTGCTACTCAGACCTGGAATTTGAAAAACAGTTCTCTGAGTTAGGAAACCACCTCGGACTGATTCAGGCCATTGGTCCACTTCACTCGGAATTGTCTGCACTAGGAGCAGAGAACCTGCAGTCCTCCGGAATTTCTTGGACTGTAACACCTATTATCCTTGACCACTGGCCATGCCGGCTGAGGCTGATGGGAGTTGCAATCCAATGACCTTTGGAGGGGCATGGCTTGCCAACCCATTCACTGCCAGCCGTGCTCAAGGTTCCAGATGGGGTCTCTCCCAGCCTTAGCTGGGAACGGAAACTGGGACCTTTAGTATGCAAAGCCGTCACAACTACAGTGAATTACTATCGGTGCAGCAGATGTTGCTCTGAAGGAGCATTAAGACTGGCTGGGACGAACGAGGAATGTGGGGTGGAGCAGGGGAAGAGAATGGGGTTAAAATGAGGTTGCACTGCCGACTTCCATCAGGATTCTCTGTAGTCCAGCCACAGAAGGACTTGCTCTGCTCCCGCAATTATGTTCCTGGACAGTGCTGGGCACAGAGGAAAGGAAGGAGAGGGAGAGGGCAAAGTTGAAACATTCAAGAGCAGAGAATATGTCTTTTGTCAACGAGACCTAGGGCATGAGCAGGAAGCCAAGGCTGGGTCAGGATCAGCAGAAAAGCGAGTGGGATCTTTGGATGAATGAACAAAGAGGGAGGCAGGGGTTGGCAGGCAATCATGTTCCTTCGGACGTCCACTGCTAAGAATGGTGACCGGAATTTTGGTGGCCGCTTATTGTAAAGGGCACTGGAATACTGGAGGGGCATCATGCAGAGCTAAATAACACATCATCGCGGGCAATTAGCTGAAAATAGAATGGAGAGGCCGCCTGGGGCAGGGCTTAGTGTGTTGGCCTGGGATTTGGGGGACCTGGCCCCTGCTTGGGCACAAAGCTCACTGGACAGCTTTGGGCCAGTTGCTGACTCAGGCTAACCTACCTCATAGGGTTGTTGTGGGGATAAAATGGAGAGGAATGCAATAATAGACAGACAGACGAATACCTAACTTGCTCCCCAAATACCACCTCAGATGCAGAATAACAGCCATGCGCATTCTATTGCTGTGCTTATCATCCAGTCAACATTTCACTCCAGTCTTTGATGGCTGACACAAAAATGTCGGCCAGATATTCAGTACTACACATCTGACAGCAAATGTTTGGCAGGCATTGATTGCTGAAATGCAATTGCACTGAATATTTCACAGGATTTGATTGCTGACCGTCAATAGCATTTAGGTCCCGATTGTTGGCATCCAATGGTATTCAGTATCTGACCACTGAAAGCTTCCCAGACTTCATCTTGGATACTTGTGAGCAATAAAGTAATGCAAGATTCCAGCAGATATCGTACATTTCCTGGGAGCAGGCCAACCCAGTGGAGTTTATTTCTGTGTGTAACATAGATAGCGCTACACTGAAAAGGGCAGAATCCTATGCATGCCTAGACAGAAATAAAGTTGTACAGCATTCCCCAGGCGGCCTTTGCCCTAGAGCAATTAAATTCGACCTAATATTGTATGTTCAGATTTTGAGCTCTAATTTCAAATGTCTTGTAAAACCGGTCCAATCATCCAAGGATCTATTTGCTCATTTTTCTTGTTGTGTATAAAATGATGTGCAAGAACATTACACAACAACGTGCAACCATTGCCATAGCACCAGCTAAAAGGCAACTAAACCCAGTTGATATTCATATCCTCTGTTACTGTGTGTCTTGTGCACCGTCTGCCTGATGATTCTTTTGATGAAGCCCTGCTCTATGTGGATTACATTTTATGTCTTTTTGTGTTTCTGGCAGAACTAGATGAATGCATATTATCAGTATAGTGCCATTAATGTATACAGAACTTTACAAAGGTGCAACAGAGCAGGATCCTGCCCCAAGGAGCTTACAATACAATTCTAAACATGTTTACTCAAGTAAGTGAAAT